ACTGTTCAATTAATGTGAATCATTTTAACTTTAAAGCCTATGGCTGAAAAATAGAAGTTTGCCTGTTGATTCTGAATGAATGATATGTTTCAATGACATGAATCTAATATAATTAGTGGAAAAATTTGATAAATGCTTTAGTTTCTAATTCATTAATAACAATAGTTTTGTATTTTCCTACAATTATTCCCTGACTGAGGCTGTTGGTGAAATTCCAATGGGTTCGATTTATGAATGTTTCTACACTGGGAACTTATAATTAGGGTTTTCCACTTTTCTTTTGAATACAGGATAATTAATGCAATTAAATTTACTCTCTGATTGATGTATCTTGAATGAAATCTATGAGCTTATATCATGCTTATCAAGTTAAGATGTCTGATCAAATATTATACTCAAGACCAAAGAAAATTGCCATTGTAAAGTACATTGACACCTTAATTGGCCTGATCTTTGTACATGTATATTAAAACAGGTGGTGCTAATGAAATGAAATCCAACATTTAAGTCCTTTAAATAATTGCCCTGTGGCTTATCAATAATTGGCTTCTTGTGCAAATATTGAAACTGATCCGAAATTATGCCTAAGTCATAAAAATACCAATACTACATGTACGATTAGTTTATATTTATGTGTACTTGACTAGATAACCTTGGTACCTTGTATCTTGCAAATAATAAATCTTATTAATACATGTAGATACTCTCAAATCTGTTATATTCCTATGTATTGATAGCCCCATAGCAGCTCTCCCCAGTAAATGCATAATACACTTTTCTACTCAACACCCTATCCAATTTATACTTTTCTCAAAGACTTCATTATTTCCAACCTAAGAGTCAGACACTAATTGTCTAGCAATAAAATTCCCCTTTTCCCCCAAATTGAATGAATTGCATGTTTCTCCCCTATTTATGTGTTATGAATTTGTATGTCCAAAGTTAATTTCAGTACATGTAATATTTTCAACCCTGGTGCTTCAGTATTCTATCTGATGTAAATATTCCATGAAATTTAAGCTCTAACCAATAAAATAAAATTATTAAGAATAGTGTATATGAATTATTTTAAGTAAAACTACTTAGGTAAAGAAATGTTTTAGCTGAAAACAGTCAATCCACAGATAAACTTAAAATTCGGTTATGTGTAAAAAGGCAGACACACTTTCAAGTAAACACAAGTATTAAGGCGCAATATTTATACCAATATATTTTGTTAATTGTTAAATCCCTTTTATTTAAAGCTGCTTTTATTTAGTTAACCTGACAGTAGTTGAGAGAATTAGAATAATTGATATTGCATGATCCAGTTACTTTTTTTCTGTGTCACACAGAGCACCTGCCGGGTACATACTTACCATAGCTAAAAGAAGAGAATTACTAATTTAAGCAACTGGTTATAGAATACAGCAGATTTTTTATCATGAATTGAGCAATAATTAGTCATTTTCCTTAATTTACAAATCTAATTCCCTAATTTACCCAAACCCCAGATAAATAAAATTATAAATTCCTTTATTTCTAATGGTTATAGCCTTAGAAGTGAAAAATGCGTGAACAAGAATGAAATATCCCTAAAATGCTAAAGTGAATACCCTCGAGTCAGCTTATACTGTCAAATTTATTGTATGACAAATTAAAAAAAAAAAGAAAAATAACTAGCATATAGCTCATCAAGAGCAACTGAGCTACATTTGATAGGCAATAAATTTTATGAAATTTATGCAATTGCCAAAAGGAACCAAGTGGCAATTAGTTATTAAACACTCGAGAAGCACTGAATTTTATTTCAAGAATGCATTTTGAGTTTGAAATAAAGCATTGGGTTGTCCTGTTGGTTGATTGTGTTGTTGACTGTGGAGGGCATTATTACAGCCAAATAGGAAATATAAATAAGCTTCTGCTGCATGATAATAACATAAAGCCTGATTTATGGCCAACATTACCCTTGTGACTTATAATATTTGATGTTTCCCTGTTAATCATCAAAAAGGTGCAACTGTTTTAACTTTGCTTCTGACCCCCCCCCCCCCCCCTCTGTGTTTTAAACAAAATTCAAGAACTTTAATGCAAAATGCATTTTAAAAATACTGTTGGTGTATACACTGAGAATGCTCAATTGAATAAAGCCAGCGAAAATTGATAAGCACCGATTATAATGTTTTGATCAGTTTGACTGCTATTAAGCCATTCTTCTTACATAGGATTTTTATTTTTCCATTAATGCACGATTTATAAATAATTTAAAGAGCACAGATAATTAAAAATATTTATTTCTTAATCTGGTATAATATTATGTTTGCTTGTTAAACTAAAACATAAACAAGTTTTAATACAAATTACGCCACATGTATGTCGACATAGAAAATTTTGGAAAATTCAATCCGAGCCAATCTCGCATTTTTTTCAAAAAAGAATAATCCATCTATACATCTAGTCATCAAATCAGATATTTGCCGATAATATTTAATAAATATTTAAGAAACAATCGTGATTGAAAGCATATTTTTTTAAAAGTTCTGTCTGCTACAAAATTCGTGTACCTTTCGTTTTTGGATCAGGGCAAAGAGGGGGAATTTGAGATATCCCGATCCCGATCTAATTTATATTCGAACTAACCCAACTCAAATAACAGCAACAAGGTTTTCCTCATAAAATAAGTGCATCTATTCTTTAAATTAATAGATGCTATTATTTTACACTCGTAAAAATATATTTTTGAGTAGAAATGGCCAGTGTTATATTTCTACTGCAGTAAAAATAATTAATTTGTGAGTTAGATGGCCAGCGTTTTATTCTAATTGCAGTAAAATTAATTATATGTGAGAATTGTGGCCAAAAAGTATTCATTTCATTGAGAAATCAAATGATTTTTACTGGGGTAAAAATAATTTCACTGGAGTAAAATATTTATTTGTGAGTAGCAATGGCCAGTGTTTTATTTTTACTCCAGTAAAAATAATTTAAGTGTAGTAAAAATAAATAATTGTGGGTAGAACGGCCAACCATACTCGATGATACGTTTGGGATAACTCAAAGTTATATATAACTCTACCTCACCTAAAGATATCAACAGCCAGTGACTACCTCTTGACAGTATCGCACAAAACAGAAGAACAAAACACGCCTCAAAAATTAAATATAGTGCATATCAGTAATATAATCCATTGAAAAAATATATTCTAATGATAAACATGTTATTTATCTCCCAAAAATACACGCATTAATTTTAGCCAGTCAAATGCAGTCTATTTTTATCTCCTTTTGATGCTACCTTCATGTGCCTTTCTCATAAAGAAACTTATAAAGACTAGACTCAACAAGCAATATCACAGTAAGTGTAACATATTGTTAGTTACAACAAAGGTATAGGATATTGTTGTTAGTACTTAGAATCTCGCTAAAAGTGTACAATTATATATCTTTAAAATATTTCTACTTTCGTTTTAAAATATAGTAAACAAAAGGAAAATCGTGATACTGTTACTTATGAAATATTAACTTTGTATTAAAAAAATTAAAATTAAAATTTCCCTTTGGAATCGACTCTGTCTTCCTGTAGTGTCTAAGATTATTTCTTTCGAATATAACCAACAAAAAGAAATCCATAATCAATGAATTCTGACAAGGAATTCAGATTTGAATTTTCTGGGCAATATTTACATATCTAAAATAGTCAGATATACATGTAATAAACAAAATATCGTGTTGAACATTGTGTTTTCATTTACTTCACGTGCAGACATTTAGATAAAAATCACATAATTAAGACCATCAACAATTAATCTTTACACGATTCGATAAAGTTTTCAGAGTTATTGCTCTTTGCCACACAGATGCATTGTCTCTTGCTGAAAATAAAAAAAAAGTAGGCTATTATTATTATTATACAAATATGGACTCAATGTAGGTCAATATGCATTTATATTGACCCAGGATGACAGATATTGACCGAAGATACATGTAGTATATCGACCGAGGGCGCTAGCCCGAGGTCGATATACTTCATGTATTTGAGGTCAATATCTGTCATCCTGGGTCATTATAAATGCATATTGACCGTGCATTGAGTCCATATTTATTATATTATATAAATAATAATTTCCTAAATTTATTAGTGCAATGTATATCATCCTATTATTTACAGAGATAGTATTAACCATAAATAAGTTGGATGTAAATGTTTCAGAATTCATTGAATATTACTCAGAGGAAATTGTTTTGGCATTCCCATATCATAATAATGACGCAAGATATCTATCTCCGAATAACACAGAGTACCCTTTCCCCAGATTGAGAATCGCTCTCGTTTACACTTGCAGACGAAATGCACTGACAAAATATAAATACCTTTGTCTTCTAAGAATATATACAATCTTACATGGCATGCTTGTCTATATTTTCTTTAGTCTCCGTAATCGCTTAAACAGCGTCAAAACTCTGCTGGCTGAGTGGAAAGGTCGAACTCAAACATGAAATGGTATGTGCTAATTATTCCCGAAAAATATTCACAAATATCCTAGTTATTTTTTGTATTATCAGTCTCAGAGTTCTTCACTATATGTTTTAGATTTTCCTCACCTACAACTTGCGAACTTCCATGTTTGTCTAAAGCGAAAGTGAAAACGAGGCAGCTCGTGCGAGTCATTATTCGCTTTCAGCGGTCGTTATTAAAAAAATAAGTACTTCGTATTGACCAATCAGATTACCGGATTTCACAGAGTTATATAATATTTTTATATAAGTATGGCCTCACAGCCAGGTCTATGATATTTAGTCAAAATAATAAACGATAATTTTCCAACAGTACTGTATGCAAAAAAGATTTGTTTTGTTTGAATAGTATTTGAAATATTTAAAAAAAAGTATTTAATTTTCTTGTTCACTTGTAAATACATTGTTTGCTGGCCATTAAGTCAATGTTTTTTAATGTGATCATATATTCGTTTTTCTTTGATACCTATTGATCCATGTGTATCTTAAAGTTTGATACTTTCAGTCAAAAGCTGCCTTTGAAATGTATATCAACTAGACATCCTTATCAAAAGTCATGGCAGAGAAAAGGCTACCTGATTTTGTTGATCCTGGTCGCCCTGTGAGTATTATTAACTGAAGGTGTTGACACAGCTTCCCCATGTCTTCTGTATGTTTTCAATCTGTTTTGATTTTATTTTTCGCTCATTATAGAACACGGGTTATAAACTACACTTCCTTTTAAAAAATTTCATAGTAGAGATCTGATCATTAAAATAACTTTTTAACACAGTTCTGAGGGATTCTCTTGGCAAGATTTATTTCGCCACAGAGAGCTTTGCCATAAAATTAGCCCCACTATTTGTGGACTTTTTGCGCTTAATAGTACCGATTAATATTTGAAGCATTCTGTGTTTATTTCACTAAATTGTGTTTCTTAGGATTTAAAACAACACACCTTTCTTTAGTCTACTGAAGTGTAAACTGTCGAATCTGACAAACTGTAAATTCTGACGTTTTTTCTTTAATTTTAGTATCTCCTTGTTTCTAACACTATACAATCCGACTTCCTGTCTATTCCGACACAAAATTTGTCTCCCAGTGCATGTCAGTTTAGGCAGGTTTTATGTTTTATGTATATGTTCGGAATCTCTGAGATGTTTTACCCGTCATAGCACAAGGGTTTTAATTAACGTTCAGTTTGTTCTAAAATTACATAGTGGATAGAAAAGTTGAAACACTAAAATTGTACATTCTTTTACGACTTCATGAGATTTAAACCTCACTATTTGGACACAGAGCCTTTCGGCAAGGGGTAATCTCACACTAGTTGTGACTTTATATGCCTAGTGCAGGTTGACATTTAATGGCTCAATCTCTTTTTAGTGACGTCCTCATAAACTGTATAATACATATGTATACATGTACAAGTGAAATATTGTCAAAACAAAAAAAAATAAGAAAAAAGAAACCGCTGTTCTTCTAAGAAATCTAGTAGTAAATTCATCAAGCATTCCTTTCTTACACCAATTCAAAGCCTTCCTTTTTTTAGAAAAACAATAGGCATGTTGTAGATTATTGACAATACCTTGGTGAAACAAGAACATCAACATACAAGTTTAAAGTCATCATACGGTGATTGACTTAGCTTTTTATCAAGCTTTCCTTTCTAATACCAATTTAAAGCCTTTTTTTAAGAAAAAAATTAAACATGTTGTAGATGATTGACAATACCTTGGTGAAACAAGAATATCAACAGTTAAGTTTAAAGTCATCATTTCGAAAGTTTTATAGTCAATACAGTGACCTTTTCTGCAAATACAAATTATCATAATTAGGTCCAATACTTACTGACGTTTTTCATAATTATTGTTAGACCATTATATACAAACTGAATTGTCAACGGATTTTTCATTATTTGTGTTTGCTCTCCTCACATTTTGTATTATTTAATGAACTTTTGATCTTGAAAACTGCTTAATATCTCCATAATATATAGTTACAATTCCATACTTCTATCCGTAATCCTTTTGACCCTGTACAGATTTTACAAAATGGGTTGTGCGTTTTTTTGATTTTGAAAATAAAAACATTCAATTTGAAATATTAAGAAGAGCTTGATGACAACATGAACGTAATACTTATAGAGAACACTTGATCTATCATATATTTTTTGGTACCTTGTGAAGATCTACTAGTTTGTTATTTTTTATTTAAAAATGAAGCACCTCAAACTAGTATCTTTTAGAAAACATACCGATAGCTTGATGAAAAATTCAAAACTTATGATAAGCTTTAAGGAGTACACTGCACAGGGTTCATCTATGTTTAAACTGTCGTTTTCACATGTATATACTGGTATATGTCATACGTACTAGATCTATAAATACTAACAAAACATCTAAGTGTTCACCTGACAATTTTAAGCTATTAAGAACAAATATATACAATTTGAAATTGATTAAATTCAAATTCAGAGTTAATTATGCAAATTTTAGTTTGAAGGCTGTGTTACTTTCATGTAAGTATCTCGTAAGACTTTAAAGAAAAGGGTAATGGTGCACTAAAGTGCACCATGGTGTACATTAAAAGTGAAAATTCAAAGGAAATAATCAGAATGGAGTAAGACCACCTCTCGTTTTAACTACTGCAAGACGTTTCCTCTTGATATAAAGTTTTTTTCTGAATAGAAGGCTGACATATCTGCTGCCGCAGTAGCTCTGTTGAAGTAGAGGCATCGACAGTCTTTTCTTTGACAAATTGTTAAGGGGACATATTGGTTGTAATGATTTGAAAATATACAATCCCTAACAAAGGAATACTATAGTAAACTTTAGTTAACAATAATTTACTATAGTACCTTGTAAGTAAGAACTTTGGAACTTTGATAACTATGGTAAAAACTTTGGAAATTTGATTTACAATAATGAAAACTTTGAAACTTTATTTTACAAGATGTATATATATTGAAATCTTTGAAACTGATCTACTATATTTAAGAATTGCAAAATTTGATTTACTATTAATTTTGAAAACTTGGAACTTTGATTACTAGTAACTATAGTGAAATCTTTGAAACTTTGAATTATTATCAAAGTTTACTATAGTATTTCTAGTAAGATATTTTATCAAGTGATTAAAAAATTAAAACATTTATTTGAGTGTACACTTAAGTGTTTTTTTGATTGACTGTTATAATGTCATATCGACAATAATTATTTTCTTTAAAGGCATTTCCACAAAAACTCTTAAAAATAGACAGTTCTGAAATTTCAAATGCAACACAGTCCGTTTTATCATGTGTAGAAAGTGATTCCTGCATCGGGAAAACGGGTAACAATGAAAAGCAGGAAGATAGTGACGACGGTGATGATGCTGGTAATTATATTATTGCTTAAAATTAATTAAATATTAACATAATTTTAGAGATATTCCATTCATTCATAAAATTTTGAGATCAAACAGGAATAAAGTTGTAATTTTTTTTTTCTTTTATTAATTGAATAGAAATATTCTACATCATAAACAGTAATATATTAAGTAAAGGTAAATGTTTGATTTTTCATACTTTTTATAGATCGTAGTCTTCTATACTGTATTCTGTTATCGCGGTATGAAGGTATAAATCTAAGCAGCACTGACTGGTATGAGAAACTTACAAACATCAGACAGACCTATGATATGAAACACAGATCAAGAGAGGAGGACATCCGTGCCATTCAATCAATGAAAAAAACATCTCATAGTGTACACATCATTGGAAACGTTGTAAACTGTTATCTGTTTGACATTTTTGATGAAGATGACCGTGTTCATAATTGCCTGACGTTCAACAAAGATTATGAAAAATTCTGGAAGGTGACACCGACAGTTGTTTTGCGGAAATGCGTTCCTTATGTGTATAACATACTGGAAAACATTATGTTTAGCAGTGAGATTTCTGATATTGTTTTGAATGTTGGAATGAACTTAGTTCTATTATCAGACAGTGATTGGAAATATGACGAAAAATTTCAGAAATGTTTAAAGATATGTAAGTATTTATTTTGTTTTATAGCGCATAACATTCATGTTAAATGTATACTTAATACCTATTTTATCTTATCATTTTATTTGAATTTCAAAAACATAATTATCTAACTATTCCGAAATAGTTAATAGGATAAAACTGTTTTTAGTGAATCTTCCTCATGCTGTGGTTTACATGGTAAAAAACGATGACGAGCATGATGAGTTCAGCAATTTCAAAGAATATGTGGATGAGATTATGAAACGTGAACATAAATCCTTAGAGTCATTGAATCTGAACAGTCTCCTTGGCTCCTACCTTATTGGACGGCAGACAGGCAAAGAGAAAGGTAATGATTTCAGTTGAAAATGATATGTCTATCATTCTCTGAAGGATGAAGATTCACAACTACAATGGTGAGAACAAAGATTAAGTTATTTATTAAAATGTGGAACCCCGTAATATATGTATAATATATCAACCACAAACCCCGTTATCTACGGAAGCGTAAATTGCTCTACACTAGTTGTGTTATAAAGTTGTATATTGTCTTGTATTTTATCAACATTTAAGACCAATTCTCTGTAATTATCAAAATTGGCTGGCCACGCATAGTTACAGATTTTGATTTTTCTATCATAATTTAATACAGATGTGTGAGTGATTGTTAAAACTATAAATAGATTTTTAATTATAATCTTGGTTGCCATGGAAACGAGATACAAAGTTTCTCATTTTGGTAAATCTTGAAAATCTGTGCTTTTCATGAAAAATCATGTCCAGAGATGAAATGAGATATCTAATTTTGTGTTTATTGTTTTAATTCAATACTAGAGATTCAAACAACAATGTTTGTCGTTAAATTTTGATTTCACGCTCATAAGTGGTCATGTTATACATGGCAAAATATAAAAATTATGGTAAATTTTGCTCAGTTTTTAGAGACTTAGCACAAAAAAATGCAGCTGTTTGCAAATAAGGCAATAATAAAACATGAAAGGGCGATGATTGATTATATCAAAACAGTTTTAAAATTGGTGGGCAAATGAAATTTGTAAAAGAAATTCAAAGGTGAATATTCATTTTTTCTGCATTTTGAAGCATTTTTTGCTTCCCGATTACTTCCCTTGGGTTACTCTCTAGCGTCTGGAGGTACTATATGTAGACGTTGTAATGGTAAATAAATGATTTGGTGAGAAAAGTTATCCAAGCAGGCGAAGATTTGCAGTGTGGAAGAAGAAAAAGGACCAAGATATAATAAAAAATGAAGACAAAAGGTAATTATAGCCATTACAAATGTTTAGTATGTGTACGTTTCTCTCTCTCCATTTTATTGACAATGCATGCATATATAACCCGAGATTCCTCTGTTTTGAAAATTGTGATTGTGACACATGAAGGGACCTCTGCCCTGACTCTCCCATGAAATTTCACGATGAAAAATTAGATTAAAATACATATTTATGACAGACCATGTAAGTCAGACACAATCTCCTAGTTAGAATAATCTAACTGTGTCTCGATACAGGCCCTCACCACAGTTAGAATACGTCCCATATACTTGCATCGTAGCAAATCGGAGCGGATCCGCTCCGAAACGATTTTGAAGAATATAAAATGATTTGCACTGGGAATAACTACCAAAATAATCAAAACAAACCTTCTTGAGATTGCTTATGCCTTTTATCCCAAAAATTATTCCATATAAATACGTAAATCCAATTAATTTTCTCAACGTTTTTCTCTCGACTCCATTCAAATGTTTACATTCGGAAATCTCTAGATTGTTCCTAGTAAATGCACTATACGGGTTATTCTTTTTGCTACATTACGAATACACGGAACGAATTCTATCGTTAAACCGGGTCCGTAGGACAATATCATTTTAACGATAGAACATTCTATCTAGTTAAACCGGGTCCGTAGGACAATATCATTTTAACGATAGAACATTCTATCTAACAATCTCCTTACATATAAACACTGTGTACTTAGAGTTTTGCATTGTACATTTCTTATCACACTTTTTCCTCATGTCAGCAATCTAATATATTTTCCCACAGGTGGATGAAACTTACTCATGCTTACCTACATACACACCAATGACACCTGCAACATGGATACAAGACTGCAACTACACACAGCCATCTCCTTGGACCCAACAGATACCAGTGTCACAGTTTGAACAGCAGATGCAAACACAACCAACTCCCGACATTCACACTCAACAGATGCTTACAAAACAGATTTCTCTTAATCCGCAACCATCTCAAGACATTGAAATACAACAAATGCCAACACACCAACCAATGCGGCACCTCAAATTTCCTTAGAACAAATGCCAATGGCACAAATGATGCCTTAACAAATGCCACCACAGAACCCTGCAACTCCTTCCCAGCACACCACACCACAAAAGATGCCATCAACACACTTACATGTAGTAAGCCCACCAAGGACACCAAGGAGGTCACCAAGGAAGCATTTCTCATCTACACCCGAGGATTCTGATGGACTTGTAAGTGATGATTTACAATACTAGACAATTTTTCAGATATATGTTAGCGTTTATATTAGGATTGAATACCAGTATCAGGTAGATATTTCATAATGTGACATACTGCAATATTAATAAGTATATTGCAGTATATCACGATACACTGTACATGTATTTTCAGCAAATTTGAAAGTGACATTAGTGGTATTTTCTAATTTTATTAACTTCATTTTCAAATACAAATATGCATTTAAATGCACCATCACAACGGTTTTTTCCTTACTCTTTTGTGTAATTACAAATGCTTCTGACAATTTATATTATCTATATAGAAACTCCAAGCATATCACATGTAACGGTATATCAGTTTACGTACATGAACTACTAAAACTTATAGCGATATTATTGCCCAGCTCTACTTTAAATTAATTACAGTCTGAAAGTTAATGATAAGTCTTTATAATTCTTAATGCTGTTTTTAGCATGCATGTTATATTGTATGTAAGAAATATTTTGATAGAATCAATCTAATTAAAATTAGATGTTAGATCCGCTCGCATACTCGCTACACTAACATCTAACAACATCCCATAGAGGGTCACGTCAGAGGTCAAATGCGGAACAACTCTAGACTTATTCACTACGATTGCGTCAACAAATATCCAATGATTTTGTCAACGACAATTTGATTGGTTGATAGAATTTGACCTCTGAGGTGACCCTCTATGGGATGTTGTTAGATGTTAGTGTATGCGAGCGGATCTTACATCTAATTTTAATTAGATTGTGATAGAATTTGCATTCTCAGAAGAAAATCATTGTCATTTTATAGATATTTATTGTTTAACTTTGAAGAATTTTGTTTTTCTTGTGACACTGTAAATGTACATACATGTATATGGCAGAGTTAATTTCTAAAATTAAAATTTTGTTTTAATTTTAGATGACAAGGCTCCTTTCAAAACCATCCTTTGTCAGTTAAGAGGGAAGCACTGAGGAAAGCAAAAACTGCAGCAAAGAAGGCTCACTCATCAAAAATGGCCTTCACCTTGACAGCAAAACTCCTTCCTGCAATTCTAACATGTGAGGAGTTGGCCCTTGGTAGAGGACAAGGGTTAAAGTCAAAAGATGGAGATAAAAGACCAACTCTTGATTCCACAAAGATGACTGCGTTGAAAGGTATTAGATAAGTTAATCTCATGCAACTGGTTATATGGTAACAGCAATTCAATCAAAGATTTTGACACCAAATTAATATGAACAGTTGACCGAGTTACACAAACATTTAATTGGCAAATTCATGTATATTTATATTCCTTCTACTTCAGAATATGTAGCAGTCTGGTGTGAGAAGAATCGTGGGAAATATGGAGAAAAAGAGATAAATGACGCTGTGACTGAGCAGGTTTCATATGCCCGAAAAAAAGGAAAGGAAATAAAAAATAAAAAAAAGTCAACAGCTGAGTGAAAGAAAATTTATGTTTAACTTTGTAAATATGATGATCACGAACTGGTTATATTTGATTGTTGGACATCACAAAATTTATTGCTAGGATTTTATGAAACCAAGATTAATGTACAATATAGTAATTTGACAACTTGTAAATTTAAATTGTTTTTTTTAATTACTGATTTAACTTTAAAGACTTTAATATCTTAATAAAATGTAATAGTTTAATTGTTACAATGAGTTTGTCTATGACTTTATTTTGGAAAAATGTCCATTAAAATTGAAAGACAGAATTAATTGGCATAATCCGCTTAATGTACGCCTAAGCATTCCGCTTAATGTACGCCTAAGCAGTATGCTGTTTTCCGTCTAAAATTTAGCAGGATTTTTAGGCGGAATCTTTAAGCGGAATCTTTAGGCGGACTAATTTGCATATTTCGCCTAAGTTTCCGCTTGAATTCCGGCAGAACTCCATCTAAAGTTCGCTTGTATTTTGTCTAAGCTTACTCTTTATGAGTATTGCTGACTTCAGGCGGAATACGCCTTAGTTGTCCGCCTGAAATCCACCTTTTCTCCGCCTGGAATATTTCGTACGGGCTATGCAGTAAGAGTGATCTTACCTTAAAAGTCAGATAGAAAGATAGTTGTTCACCATCTATTGAACAATTTGTAACAGATTAAAATATTCTTAATAGCATTATCTTAGAATAAGAATAAGTAATTGAATTATTAATATTTGCATTAATTTTCCCAACTGTAGACAACCATGGTTTCTGTTCATGAATTAGAATAATTCATTGTCTCTAAGCATTTTTTTCCTGTAGAAATAAGGCAGGTACTTGATAAAAATGAACTAATAGTCTCAATATGCATACCTTTATATGGTAATAATGCAGATCACGTCTTGTTATTGTAAAGAGCTTCTTTAAATTTAATATTATATGGTTTGCTAATTAAGTTACATTGTAAAATACATTGTAGTTGATAATTTTCATAGAGATTTTGAAAAAAAAAATCACAAGCCAAGAACTCTTGACTTACGTAAATGTAATACTTTGTAGCATTTTGTGCTTATTATGTACCAAGTAACTATATTGAAATTGGCATGGAAGGCCTCGTGTAATTTAAATCTATATCAGTCTAGATTTTTAAAGTCTAAGTCTACAATTTTATTTCATGATGAAATGGAAATATAAGGAATCACTGTCTAGTTTTGAGAGTATGCCAGGGACATCAACAATAGTGGGAAACATGGGATAATTTTAGCATAACGGGCAAATTATCCTATGTTTCCCACTATTATTGATGCCCTTGCATACTCTCAAAACTAGATAGTGATTCCTTAAAAAACATATAATTTAGAAATTATGATGTAGCCGGTAATAAACTGGTACATCTAACTGCAGTAAGCAATAATAGAGGATTGTTATTTTTGTATTCTGCAAGAAAGGGGGGGTCTATATCTTTGATCATATTCTCACCTATCAGTATGAATTATTATTCTTTTATGGGTCAAATGACAATGTCTCATTGATTTTACAGATTTTGAGCTTAAATTTTTTGATTTTTTATTATCAAAAGAAAAAATATATCTTGTTATATGAAGTATAAGTTAAAGCTGTTTTTTGGCAAAATGCCAATTTTATGATTTTTCAATTTGTTATAGTCAACATTTGTTGTTATTTGCCCATGAATGTTTTTGAATATTTTCATTATTTGTGACAAGTACCTTCAGATGAAATAAGTGATACATTGTGAAAGTTCTGCTAATTTTTTATTTTTCTTCTCAAAATGTTTCAGTTTTTCAGTTTTGACTAAATTTCGAAAAATTGATATTTTGCCATTGTTTGACTAAGTATTACAAAATATTCAAATAAATCTTTAACACAATAAAGATATACATTGAGAGTGTTGATGTTGTAGTTTTATAAAAAACTAGTAACCGAATTCTAATCCTTAAAACGGGTTCAGCACAGATGGGGAAAAAGTGTTATTTCAGCAAGATTGCCACGCACAAATTAGCCATTTTGGTCAGGATTTTTGTATTCTGGTTACCATGGTAACAGATGATGTCCAGAAAAAAAGTATGCCATATATATGAGTTTTACCCTAGGAAGGTCCTATATGCCAAGTTTGAAGAAAATCGGAGAGATGTCGTGGCCAACCTTTTTTCAATCTGTTTGATTTTTACAGAGAACTGGTCTTAATGTGTTATAGCTCCTTATTTATACACATATTTTGAATTGTTTTGAGATGTATTTACATAAGTGAAGACAACTTCTTTTGTTCAATAGATTTTATTGTTCTTAGTTTTACCGACTAAAATATTATATCAATTTTCAGATATCGATCGAAACAAGATATGTAATCATGTCAATATAGTATTGTTGATATGAAAAAATATTTAGTTATATCGACATTGATATATGAATATTTTCGAGAAGAAGTAAGAAAAAAGTGTTTTTGAATTAACTTCGCGGGGGTGGGAGCTCTAATAAATCTTCACCTCACTTTGGAAAACGTATGTACCATGTATTTCCTATCGGGTAGGATTATAGGCTGAAAGAAATTCAAAAATATTTGAGTGATTGATTGATTAATTATATTGCTTAACGTCCCTCTCGAGAATTTTCACTCATATGGAGACGTCAGTCGTATGCCGGTGTAACGTTGAAGTTTGAACCGAGTTGAAAATTGACCCAGGGTCATTTTTCAGCATTGAATACTGAGACTCAAAATGTTGAATTTAGACCCGTGTCCGTAACAAAAATGAGCCGGGTCGTGGAATTTTGATCATGAAACTTGTTCTAAAGTCAACAGCATGAAACACGTATTTATGATTTGATTCTCACAACTGTGATTTAATCCATTGGCGTCGGGAAGAAATGGGGGATTGGGATGCTTAGCCCCCCTCCCCCCACTTTTTTTGCAAAGATAGACAGTCCCGAAATAGGATTTTCGGGTTTTGACAATTTTTCTTTTCAATTTTTTGATTAATTTTGTCAATTATTTCAATTTTTTTCTATTTTCAATTATCAACCCGTACTTTCAATTTGCTCCTGATACCAATGTAATCAATACACACTTCATTCAGATATATTCTTAGAATAAAATATTAACAAAATATCTTAGATTTTATATGTTAAGTTGCATGTTACATGCGCCTTAAATACGCAATACCGGTATTTCGTGAAAAATTATTTTTTAAAAATCATTAGTATATGTATTTCAACTTATAATGTCCAACTTAAAAAACGGTTTTTTACAAAAAAAAAAAAGATTGTCATCTTTTTGGCATAGTTAATCAGACAGATCAAGAACGAACCCGACAATACATATTTACTTTGTTAAGTACAGGATGGAAAGTGAGAGGGATGATCTCCACCCCCCCTTTTTTAGGATTTTTCAATTTGCTAATAAAACCTTGTTTCATGGCAGATTTAGAAATGATGGTTTCATCATTTTCAATGGTTCTGAGACTGAGATTCTCGATTTCTTTGAACTTGGCAATCAGCGTCATCTGCACTTTAAATTTACCTTTGAAATCTCTGTTGATTGTGTAAACTTTTTAGACACATAAGTGTATAAAGGAAGAAAATTTCAAAAATCAAACAAACTTGATATCAAATCTAACATAAAACAAACAAACTATTTTTAATATCTACACAGGGAAAGTTCTCACAATTCAGCGGTATTCAAAGTTTTCGTCAAAGGTAAATGCAAAAGACATGTGATATCAATGACACTGCCCTCCGTGTTATTCTACAAGATTTTAAAAACACTTGTCAAAGAGAGGCTTCTCTGACACAGAAATAGATCTTATTTTCACAGGAATAATTGGAACTTACAGAAATGAGATCCGAAATAAAAGTAACGGCAAATTGAGACCAACAATAAATTGGTTATGGTTACAAAATATACTCCGAGAGTCAACGGACAAAATACGATCTTAAAATACTGGAATAAACAAAAAAAGACACAAGTTGCAAAGAAATATCTACCTTGGAACCAAGTAAAGTTTATAGCTAAGACAAAAGCAAAGGCGATTATGATATCATTTCAGATCATGTTTATCACAAGAAAACATTGATGAGGCAAATCTTAGGGCAAGTACCCGTTACAAAAACTGCCAAACACTCTTTACTATATTTTTTTATGTATATTAATGAATACCGGTACTTATATTTCCGACAGAAAGGAATTCTTGGTTTAAAAGTTTAGTCTAGAGTGTAGGGTTCTAATAAATTTCATGGACAAGTTTTGCTGATTGATGTCTTTATTTTCACTCCAGATTTCCAGGATTTTTGTTTTATGTCCTATTCATTGTTTTGTAGTTATTTATGAATGCTATGGATTTCAGAAAGTATTGTCAAAAATTAACTTGCAATGCATGAAGATGACTGAAATCGTGCACTGATCAAAATGTACATATACACACGGGATGATAGGTTTATTCCTATTATTCTTGAAAAGAGAAAAAAAAAATGAAACCGAAATATAAGTATAGAGATACTTATAAATCCCTTAAAACAACCTCTAATTTCAAAAAATGTTCAAAATCTGAGATGGTGTCAAAATTCAACAGTGTTGAAAAATGACCCCGGGTATAAATTCAACGACTTTTGGTCTCAATTTTCAACGGAGAAAAAAAACACCCTATATTCAATATTCAACGTTGAAAAATGACCCCCGGTTTAATTTTCAACTAGGTTCATTATTCAACATTACACCGGTGAAGGGCTTCAAATTTTGACATTTACTCGGCACTTAGGGTCATTGAGCAGTGAGGGAACTTTATCGCGCCAACGCCTGCCGCTGACACGGGGCCTCGGTTTTTAAGGTCTCATCCGAAGGACCCGCAACTTTCACTTCAAAGTGCCGAGCTCATGGCGAAGGAACAGTTGCTAACCATTTTATGGACTGGGTCAGTCGCGGCCGAGATACAAACTAACGACCTCCCCATCACGGAGCGAGCGCTCTACCAACTGAGCTACCGTGAACGGTTAAAATATTTGAAAAATGGGGAAGGAGAGGCATCAACAGTTAGATTATTTGCATTGTCATAGGGGGTTATTGTACCCAGCACCACTTTGGAAGAAGAAATCTGATACTAGTATTTTTTCTCATGATTTACTGCGTATATCTCTTGAGTTTAGTGGGGGGTTGTAAATCGCTAATGAAGCGAAAATATAAAAAGTATCAGTATTATAAAAGTAACACTGATTATGTACTTTGGGGGATATATTAATGGATATATATTACTGTTGTACTAAGTTTTTTTTAAAAGCTGGATGAGAGCCACTAAGAAACTCTCGTCTCCCCCTCTTCAAAAGTGGTGACCGGTAAATTACCCCCCCCCCCCCCATGAATCTAACTTTTAATGTGTTTTCATCTCCCTTTTCAATATATGTTTTTTAAATTTTGATTAAGCTTTCAATCGTACACGCTGGCAAATACATGGTACATGATATCTGTTGTGTGCACGTACCTTTCTAAAATACTATTGCTTATTTGTTGATACAATACAAAAACAGATCCACCGGCGGTGTGTCTGGCGCCTGCCCTGCAGATTAATTTTTTTGTCCACTTTTATGAATTTTGTTTTGTTTGTTTAGTTTAGTCTACATACTTTATCTACTTTATTGTTATTTGTTTTAAATCATCTCTAACTCATTATACAATTAAAAGGTATGCATTTTCTTCGTGATGATGTAACATAGTAACATCATCGAATAAAATATCACCAAATAAGATATAACAGTGGGACGGACAACTTCGGAATGGACATTTTTCCGAACTTGCGCACCCTTTTCCTTTAAAGCTAGCCTCTTGGAATTTTTTTTAAATGGTGGGGTTTTTCTACCTAAATGAGTTTCTGAAATAAAAAAGCAACATTTTCTGCTAGTTTTTGAGATATTAAGTGTCAAAAATAAAAATCCCATGGGGAAACGTACTTAAAATTACCCCATGAAAAACCCCACAAAAACCCCATGGGGTTCCAAATTTCCCCCATGGGGAAAATAAACCCATAGAATTTTTTGTGGGGTTTTTAACCCCATATATGACTAAAAATAATATGTGGGTTTTTTTTCCCCAGATTTTTCCTACATAGGGTAAAAAATCCCATAGAATGTTCTTTATTTATCTTTATTTTTATGAAATCTGGAACAATGGATGCATTATATTTTTGTCAATTGCCTTTTTTTCAAAGTTAGGCCTACTGATCGAGACAAGTCTGTTTTATTGTTAAAAAAAAATTTGTGTTTTTTTCCCCATACCCTAGCACTTGTATAATTCCCAAAAGTACTTATATAAAATATACATATTATAATTAACATGATTAATGTTACAATATATTTCTTTAACTTCTCTGAATGATTATGATTATAATGGCAGCTACTAAAATAATTAATTAATTAATCCAAGATATTAACTTCATAATTCTGACAGTGTTTTTACATGTCTTTCAATTAAAGTTGTATCAAAGTCACATTTATAAGATTTGTACTTCTGTTATTGTGTTTGATACAGTAATATTTCATTATTTGTTTACATGTAACATAGCATGGCATGCTTTAAAGCCTTCCCAACACTTGTTTCTGCACAGCACACGATGATACTAAGAATAAAATGTATTTCTTTTTATTTACACCTGTTAGGAGTCTGTTGCAAGGTGAATTTACCCAAGGCTCATACAGCTATACATGTACTAGCTGTGCCTGTTGATATCCTCGAGGAACCTATTTCGGTGGTATTAGCAAACTACGTGATAAAATAATCTTGACGGGAAAGATTAAAATGAAACAAATGTGACTAACCTCCGAAGGACTCTTTATCTAATCAAATTATATCTATATTAGCTAATAAAAAAATCTATAATTTGTTTTTCTTGCGATTTCT